AAGGAGGAGAGGGAGAGGGAGCGGGAGCAGCGAGTGGAGGCAGAATGAAAGTCAATGTCACCAACGGCGGGGAGGAGAGAGGTGTGTTTGACCTCACTAGCCGAGACAGTAAAACACTTCAGCTGGCCCTGTTGCTGGCAGTGAGTTGTCATTGTACTGTACCTTGTAAAAGACTGAGGGGTTCTCCAGCTGCAGCACTGCACCTGCTAAAGGTTGGGATGCTCCAACTCCCGATTCATTCAAAATGCACAAAGTGTAGAAAACTGGACTTCAAATTGGAGATTTCAGAAGATAAATGTGGCTTATTGCGAGTTGCGATATTATTCATTATCCATTATGATCAGGTTGTACTTAGCGAGTCACATTGCTAGTTTAGAACTCCAGCTGGTATTACATAGTTGTGCATTGTTCCTCTCTGCACACAGTCTGGTCAGTTCTTAATAATCGAATTAAAGGGATACGTTTTCAAAAGAGCTATTTCTTTAAATTAATATTGGCCAGAATGTGGTTATTGTTTTTCTTCAATTGCCAGTATGTACCTCAGAAATCCAACATTGCTCCGGTTCTACAAGAAACACAAAGATTCATACGATCTTAAAGGGTTTTGAACTACAACTTAACAGTGGCTAAAAATCTGTATTTTCGCTCTCTAGTGGTTTAACTTTGCTAAAGTGAGATAGAAGTGTACTCCACCGTGTAAGTACAGCACTGGGTGTGGTCAGAGGTGCACTCCTGACCACGCTGGTGCACAAAATGTTTTATATTTTCATTCTGGAGGGCAGGCAGAGCTGCTTTTTAACCCCCACCATGTAGTTGCAAAAGACGACAGAAGCAGAAAGTTAATTATTACCAAAAAAAGCCAACCTCCATCACAGTTTAGAGAAAGACCTTTTGATTTATGTCAAACACGTTGGACTTAATGCAGCTGTCGGCCCACAGTGGTCTTGGCTTCACCAGTTTAGGTAATCTGATCCCAGCAATTAGTGCGGTGACTGAAATCTTACTACAAGCGACAGAAAACTAAGAAATAGCTCCAATTAAAGGAATATTTAAAGGGACATTTGAAAACATACAAGGAATTTTTTTTAAAAAACTGTCCCCCAAAGCAAAATTTACTCAATATAGAGGTTTTGAAATATAAATGATTTCAAATAGTCCTTGAATCCGCTGTACAAATAGGTACACAGACAACCACAACACCAAACACACACACATTCACACACACCAAACGGGCATGTACATCATGGTCATTTTACTTTTCCTGCCTTCAGCCTTTCCTTTTCGTTTGCTCCTTCCTTCCATAATCTGTCTCTCTCCTCCTTCTTCTCCCCCCCTTCTCCTGCTCTCTCAATCTCTCTCTTTCTCTCTGTGAAGGTCATGCAATTGATTTTCCTCTGTCTATTCATTTTTCAAGACTGGCTTTGAAACGTGGGAAGCAGACAAAAGCCACTCCAGCCCCTCCCCTTCGCTCCATCCCTCTCCTCTCCTCCGCCCTCCACCTTCCTTCCCTCTCGGCTGGCCCTCGCCCATCCAAAAATCCTCGGACAAGAGGGAATGTGGAGGAATGCAAACTCCTCCCTCCCTCCCCCCCCCAACAACTCCTCTCTCCCTCCTCCTCCCCTCTCTCTCTCTCTCTCTCCCTCCTCTCCTTCCTCCTTTCCTCCCCTCTTTCTGTCTTTATTCCTTCTACATTTGTCCCTTTCCCCTCCTCTCCGGCCTCCTCTCCCTTTCAGCCGGATCTCTGACCACATTCCACTAACGGAATTAAAGTCATGCATCACACTTAAAACCCTGCCAATGCATTGTGGGTAGACTTGTTCAAACTGATGTCCAAATTAGCATTGCATTTTCAGTGTTGGCCCCGCGGAGACGGTGTGACCTGCTTGTAAAATTCTCCAAAAACATTTAATAAAACACTTAAGGTATCAGACCTAATAGAGAAAAAGTTAAAGGTAATTCAGACTGCGATATAGTCCATGTGCAGCAGTTTGCCGTGTTTGTCAAGTGCCTCGCGATCCACGACCTTCACGTAGTCGCTGCAGGGCTCTATATATTTACAGTTATTGTTCACATTTGTACGAGAAATGCTTCTCATTGTAGTGTAAACAGCATTCCTCAAATCTGTCTTTCCGCCACAGACAGCACAGCAACGCTACCTGCGCACCTACTTTTCTAAATAGCAGGTATTTTGTATCAAGGCCAAGAAAAGGCTGGAACACTGAGGCAAAAAAAAAAAAAAAACAACAATTCACTACATGTAGAGTGCAGTCAAGGCTACGGCCATGTGTGAGTGTGCTGCTGTATGGATATCGCTCAGACATTCAGGATGTTCTGCGGAGCATGGATGATTACATATTGATGGATCCCAATGGATTCACCCATAACAATCCATATTTCCAGATACTATGGCTTTAGATTAGAGTTCGCTGTGTATGTTTCATGCAGTTTAGGTTCTGTGAGTGGAATACTTTTGGTTTACAGTCAGATTTTTGCCAACAAATGCTCAAATAGGAGCCAAAGCATTTCGACATTGCGCTCTGGGGTGTGGATGACAATTGTTATATATCGTTCACATGTGAAACAACTTACTTTTATGCAAATGCAGGTCTTAAAATCGATTGCAGCTTATAAGCCACAAATATGTAAAATTAGACGTTTGGAGTTGCAACTGTTGTTTTGTTGCAAACTGAAGTATTTTGCAAAACCTCCTTTAATTCGCAAATGTATTTATTTTTACAATTGAGTGTATTATGTGCACATTAAAAACTTTTAACCTGGAATTTGGTATATACATGGTCAGATTTGTGGTACATGTGAGTTTTATCATTAATATTTTAGTATGTTTCTGCTAAAACACAACAAAAAAAGTCCAAATTTGCAAAGAAAATTATGTATTTTAGGCTTTATTGTTAAATCAAACAGTAATGATTGATGCTTACAGTGAATTTTAATGGTACAAGAACCTTCACATCACAGTTCTGTGATGTTTACTTGAGAAGTTGTGAAGCATTAAATACAAGTATGTCTCACAGGAGACAGATTAGGAAAATTTGATCAAGTTTCAGTTGCTTGTCTGGCCAAAGCTCAAAAAAGCTGGACTGTATGATTTCGCATAATAGAACCATTTTGCACCTTTTCATTGGAAAATTTCTTTCTGGTAAATCGCACACCTCACACTTGCCCAAGCCAAACAAAATATGTCATACTTCTGTATTTACAGGCTGAGAAGTTCTCTGCATGAGACATAAACTGAACTTCATGTGATAAATTAGCTTTCAAGATTCTGAGACAAGTATTGTTTTGGTATCGGAGCTGAAACTCCACCACATTAGCACATCAGCATCTGCAAAAATATTCATACTTACACTTTTAAGACCATTATATATTTTGGGGGATGTGTGGTACATATTGTGGTAAAGCACTGGACACACTGTCGCACAGAAACACACTATTAACATGACTGTTTTCGGCTCATATTTTCTCAAATTAGCCAAGAACAGGCACGCACACACAAACACACACACGCACACACAAAGACACACATCTAATTGTACTGTAGCTGCATCGTTTCCCCTCAGTAATAGTAGCAATTAGACAGGCTGTATAATTACACTGTCCTCGTTATATAGTTAATTTCTGTAATTACAAATTGCACCAATAGTTTCCTCCCTCTTTGTGTATCATCTTCCTCTCCCGTTTTCTCTTTTTCTCACTCTCTCACACGCACAACAAATTATATTCACACGCACATCATCCTATGGAAAGTCTTTGTATGATTATATGCACATGTATGTTTACAGGCTTGTGAATGAGCACACGCTCACGCGCTGCACAACAGCAGTAATTATGATCCCTAATAGGAGGCCGGATAAATGTCCTGGTCCACACTGAATTTTTGTGGTGTGGGGCGTCTCGGTGGGCGGGAGTACGTGGGCAGATCAGACTGCTGAGGATTTTTGATTGAAAGCGAGATGTGAGCTGAAAACATGGATTTCGGAGGTTTGCGTGCGCTGGCCAGACATCAGCATGGTTATCTCTGCTATGTAGTTTTGTAATAGGATGAGATGTAGGAATCATCAGCAGAAAATGATCCATCACACCCAATTCTGCATACTTGCTGCTTTCAAAGCTGATGTTTCTGAACATACATTATACTTAGGAAAAGTGAGGAAAACAATTAAAACATTTTTAACTAAAGGACTAGCCTGGATTAAAAACAACAAACAAACAAACAAACAGAAAAAAAAAATCTGAGGTCATATAGGGCCCTAAAATTCTTATTTGGATTTTCATATTTTATGTAATTATTTGCTAGCATGTAGATTTAAGCACCCAATTTTAACTCTATCCAGGACTTTTGGGATCTTTTGGACCCCAGGCCATTTGGTTTAGGTGACAGGTATTGTTTTGTTTTTTGTTTTTTTAAATTTGTTTTTTTTTTTAAATATAAAAAGAGGGACATTTGTCATGCATTTGGAACCAAAAATACGTCAACGTATCATAAAATTTATTTAACACAGTATAAAAGTCTATAATGAATACCGACAAATATTTTGCACATATTCTTTCCTGGGTTCCAGTGGAACCTGAAAGACCTTCTACGTATGGCAATATGAAAGTCCTGAATAAGGTTAGGGCTCAAATGCTATTTCCACCCCCTTCAAGGCTGCCAGAATGGAAAATCTGGTGAAAAATTTACAGTTTGACTCATTTCATTGAGTAAAATAAATCAATAAACTGAGTGAGTGTGTCTGTGATTATAACTTTGGTTCAGTTTACACTTACCACACAGTTTGTACATTGGATTAAATAAACACAGTCTGCAAGTCAAATGTGTGCACAGAATTTGTTCAGTTTCTGTTTGAACTCACGTTGGTTACTCTCTTTGGATCTAAAAAGGCGCTTTTACAACTGCAATCAAAATCTATGTACAGTAAACGTAAGTGAATGAATGCAGCTTTGCATCAGTCTTTCATATCAGGTGTTTCCCTTGTGCTCACCTTTGCTGCAGTTGCTGTCTCCCTCCAGCAGAGGGCTCCAGGGTGGGTCCCCTTGGCTGGCGAAGGTGCGCATGTGCAGGTAGCTGATGGTCAGCCGGATGACCGAAGCCTTGTCCAGCTGGCTCGTGATGGCCCCGGGCAGCGGCAGCATCTTGGCCAGCTCGAAGAACTCGAAATTCTCCTTCCCCCGCCGAGAACGGGCGGCATTGCGAGATTTTTCTTTACGCAGGTTCTGGAGGCTGAGGGGTTTGAAAGAGGGAGGGGGTGTGGAAAAAGACAAGGGAGGGGAAAGGTGGTGTAGAAAAGGACAGATAGAAGTAAAATGAAGACACAGATAAAGGCAGGGAGGAGGGAAAAGGTCAGAAGGCCAGTGAATACAGTCTGAATCAGCACCGTGTGAGATGGGACACAGCGGTAAGGGGGTATCACTTCATGGCCGTTTACTGACCACCTGTTGATTGATTCATGCTCTGTGTAAATGACCTCGGCATCAATCTAGAAAACTCATTTCATAAATACATATAATGGTAATGGCTCCTGCAATTGGAGTGAAACAATCTCCATTCTGACCCATCTCTTGCAGATTGGCCTGGTAATTACAGACAAACTCACTTCTTTTTTCTACCAGAGTCCTAATAATGCCATTTGCTTCAAAATCCATATGTGAACACATACACACAATCTTTCTTGCTGCCTATCTCTCACTTTTCTCTCCCTCTAGCCCCTCTCTCACCCTCTCTCTCTCCCCCTCTTCTCTCTCTCTCTCTCTCTCTCATCTGGTCCCGGGCTACTGAGCTGAAGCCGTGATTGAGGGATCAATAGGCGAGGGAGGGGCAGAGTGACAGAGGGGGGCCGGGGCTCAGGTAGCCTGTCTCTGTGATTGGGTATTGACTCTCCTCAATGGGGCCTGAGTGGTGGAATTATGTTGTCACAGCCACTTCACAATTTGTGTCGGTGCTGCGCTGGAATAAAGTGTGTGTGTGTGTGTGTGTGCTGGAGGAGAAAGACGAACCAGCCATTCTCTCCCTCGTGTCTGTGTTGTTGATTTTCATCCTAAGAAAGAGACCACCAGCGGCGCGAAGAAAACGAACAAAGAAAAGAGCCGCGCATAGCGAGTGCACATATGTTTATATCTTAATCAGCTGACACAGCGGTTGCATTTCTCCCCGCTAGTCTCTAACAAGTGAAATCAGTGTGTCTTTCTGTGAGTGTGTGTGGACTCATGCTGCCAGCCTCTGTAACATCTCATTATTATACCGCCTCGACCCCAGCCACCGAGAACAATCAATACGCGCGCATTGATTCTGCTTAGTTTTTATATCCGCCTGTAAATGACTGCCCATTAATAATTCCAGCCAAATTTACTTAATCTCCCACTAAGGGGAGGGGATTCACGCTTCTGACAGGATTGGCAGGTGAGCAGCAATACAGGTTATATGTAGCACTGAGGAGAACAGACTTGTGTCTTCTGAAACTCTTCTCCATGCTGTCAGTGTGCGCGAGGGTGTTAATGCATGGATTTCACCTTGCAGAGATTAATTCATGGGCATGCATGCAGGCTTATACAGTATCCGCCTAGGTGTATGTGTGTGTGTGTGTGTGAGTGTGTGTGTGTGTGTCTCACCAGGGCAGGGTGGGAGGCTTGGCCAGTAGTCCTTGTAGGAAATCCCACTCCACACTCACGCATTTCCCCTCGCTGACAAATGGCATGGTTGCCATCCTTCTCCCAATCACGTGCCGCCGCCGCCGTTAACGAAGGCTTTGATTGGCTGAGAATGTGACAGATTCAGACCTGGAGATGCATGCGAGGGAGCAGAGGAGGAAGAGAAGAGGGAAAAATAAGTAGAGTCCGGTTGGTTAATTCATGAATAATCGCCATAAAATGGTCATGAACTATTTAAACTTTTACAGGAGCGAGAGCACATGTGGGCCTTTTTGAAAAGTTAAAATATTTTAGGGAGCCTATCATGTTAAAGTTAGCAAACATGTTTCTGTTAAATTTGCTACATAATTTATCTTACAACAACATACTTCTAAACCTTGGAGTGAGCATGAAGCGTTTTTTTTTTTTGCATAAAAAAAAAAAAAAAGATGAGGTTTTATCTCCTTTTGCAGTTTCCAGTCAGCCTTTTTAATGTGATAGAATATAATTTGCATCAAAAAGCTTGGATGAAAAACCCATCTTGTGATTTCTTACTTGATCTATCAGAAGACATTTTTGAAAAATGGTTGGCAGGAGCGAGAAAGAAAGAAAGAAAGAAAGAAAGAAAGAAAGAAAGAAAGAAAGAAAGAAAAGTAGTCAGGTTGAAGAGAGCAATTAGTTACTGTATGTGGCCTACTTCCGCACATAAAGGTCAGCGGCTGTTCCCTGGGTAATAGACATAAGACAAAACACTAACCCTCCTTTGAAGTCACAATTACGCTGAAAAATCACAGATCTCCAAATGTCTTCCCTTCATCCCTGAGAGAACATTGAAACTTGTCTGCGACTGGAGTTTAAACTACGTATCTCCGAAGACAAAGCACACCGTCTCTTCTCCCCCAGATCTTTTTGCTGCCTCCTGCCAGTCTCTAACACCACCCTCCTGCAGTGGAAGTTGCCAATATTCTTCCCTGTCCTCAAACAGAGCCCCGCTCCTCACCAGTTTCCCCTCCCCTCAGTGCTGTGTTGACATTTAAAGGGCTGGTGTGGCCCCGAGCACCTCAGTGTCATGCCCTTGGGCCTGAGATGCCCTCTCTCTCTCTTTCTCTTTCTGCCTCTCACTCTCTAACTCCCTCTTTCTTTCGCCCGGCTGGGTCAGCACAATCGTGTCAGCAGAGCTTTGCCAGGGCAAAAGAAAATGGATTATGTCTCGAGTTTGAGCATGGTTATGCTGACCTTGGCTAAGAGGGGTCAGCAGAAGCTGGGCAGGTTTGGCAGATATCATTTTCACAAATCTGGGCTAAAACAGCCAACATTAAATGCATGCGAGAGAAAAACTTCTTGGACCGATTTCAAAGGCAGAGAAGTCAATAATCAATTCAACAAAGAGAGAATAGTTGTTGAAAGGGGAGATAGGGTCATCAACTTACCTTTAATAGTTTTATTCTGCATTTAGACAGCAACAGTGAAGCAAAAATGTGCACTTTCTATTTCTAACATGGTCCTAGGTCAAACAGAAAGACTGGCCTCAATAAAAGAAGTGGATGTAGTAGCCTGTGAATATTTATCTCCCAACCATGTAATATTTGATCAAAAAGCTTGCACTGACAGACTTTAAAGAGATCAGTTGTCACTAAACAATAAATAAAAAGTACAGAGCGCAGTAGGAATGTCCTTGGAGGACCGTGAACGTCTTGTTTGTCTCCGTTTAACTGTTGCTGACATGTTTCAGTCTGGATCAGAGCGGATGTAGTGATGTAAAAAGTTGCTCCATGAACTTGTGCAACTGCACTGCACTACCACAGATGATAAGCAGAGCTGCGAGACAATAACTAAAATCTTAATCACATAAAACTGTCATATTTACCTTGTCAAGGATAAATATACGGCTGCAGTGCACGATTAATTACAGCACGACTCAGTAAGCGTTCTGTTGGCTGATTGATTGTTAAATGTCTGGTTAGATGTCAGTGTCCATTGCTCTTAAAAGTCAGACCACGTGGAATTCACAAGACTTTAAAATTGATTAAGTAAAACCGAGTCAGTAAGAGAATTATAAAGTTACTAATTTGATCAATGTTGCTAATTTTCCAGTCTTAGATTTAACCTCGTCCCGGGGCATTTGCATTGACAGAATAGTTTGTCCCAGGCTTAAGGTGTAAGGCTAAGGCTTTATGCAGCCATAGGAAACCTATATCTTTTTATCCTCCAGCTACCGGCCTGCAACACTGACAGTCCTCTTTTCAGAGAGTGCGGTGAGGAGAGGACAGGGTCGAGCAGAGGGCAGCGCACCTCTGTCTAACAACTTCACCTTTCTCACCTTCTCTACCTCACCTGGATAAATGCACTACATGCCAAATTAGGCCGCGTACAGTAGGACGCGGAGATCAAAAGGAGACGCGGGGAGGAAACAATTTACTCTCAAATTGTCACTGCCTCACACAGACGCACACCGGCTGCCTCCAAACCATATCTGTATGTTTATCTCTTAATTGACCCTATCTGTGCTTATCTAATCTCTCCTTCCATCTTTCTGTCTCAAACTATCTCTCCATCTCTCACTGCATCTCCCTCTATCTGGGCAGACACAGGGGCGTAATGGACAGGGGCCTCCACAGTAATTATTCAATCAGCCTCATAACCTTGTCGCAGGTTGGGGCGGCCCATTAATGCACTCACCCAAATGGACCCCGCCACTTTGACTGCTAATGCTCCGCCTTAGCTAGCAGCACAACAGGCTGAATGTCACAAGTGTCATCGAGAGAGAAACAATCAAGAGGACCGAGTCGACTTATTCCGTCGCGGCACAATGGGGGGAATATATGGAAAAGGAAGGTGTGACTTGTGAGAGCAGCGAGAGTAAAAGAAAAAAAATAAAAATACTGCCCACAGCTGTGGAGATCAACTTGTATCAAGTGTGACCGCAGGTGTTCGCAATGTGTTGCTGCAGTGCTACATATTCATAAGTGTGCTGTATGTGTGTGTGTGTGTTTGAGACCCCGACCCTATAGAGCACTGCTCTCTTGGCACGGTCTCAACAGCAACAGAGAGGAGGGCACTGCGGCGAACGTTCACAGCCGCTGTTTGCTGTGCGCTTCTCTCTGGCTGCTCGCTTGGCTCCTGCTCTGTTTATTTTCAGCAGGGACGTTTAATTAGGGCCTCCAGCTGTCAGGGGTTCGTTAGCGTGCCCCTCCTCTCCCCGAGTTGCCCCTCCCCGTAGGGAGTCAGGGGCATCAGGCAAATGAACACATTTAAGTCAAACAGCACGCCGACAGACAATAGCTCCACTGCCATGCCACCGGCTCCCCTAGGTAGAGACATGGTTGTTTTATGCCTCATCTCCCCAACCCCTGGGGCCCAATACAGAGCCTGGCCAAGACTGTGAATGTGCAAGCAGAGGAGCTCTCATAGCCCACTAGAGACCACATGCACACTGCAATCATGCAAAGGTGAAGAGCAGGACCAAGCCCATGCAATGTACAGTTTGCGACAAAAAGGGAGAACGGTTCCAGTTTGGAGGATTTTCGACTCATTTTGAAGTATTACAAATCTGAAACAGGTGTGAGACGTTGAGTGTGACAAAAGTCATTCATATTCTTTTTGCCTTTACTTAATAAAGTGGAAAAAAATACAAAGAAAATTGGGTTTTCTTTAAATTATTGTTTTGGCCTTTGTGCCTTTATTGGATAGTGCAGTGAGAGAGAGACAGGAAAGTAGGGGAGGACATGTGGGAAAGGGTCATGAGCGGGATTCAAACTCATGACCTCCACGTCGGGACTGTAGCCCTGCACATGGGACGCCGGCTCAACCAGGTGAGCTATAGTGGCGCCCTGGGTTTTCTTTTGTTTTAGGCAGTTTTAGGCCATGTACTTCCTATCTGATGGCCAACTGTAATGGCTAGCACTATATACCATGAACATGACATCTGGGGGCCTCTTTCACCATATTTAAAATATTTTAGATGATTTCCTTCTCTCTTTTTGAAACACTTATCTAATCAAACCATAACAAATCACTATGGTAGGAACTTCATGCAATTTGCAAGTGATCAAAATGTGTGAAACATGACACCGCCGCCATCTGTAATGCGCCATAAAGAAATAATCGCGTATCATTTTTGTCAAATAGAACCTTGGTCCAGGGGTCCAGAACCTGTGTTCCATGCCATTCCACCTCCTCAGTTTTGAGCTCACTACTGAATAAAGGCAACGCATGCCTCCCAAATATACGAAAAAAGTTTTAGCATTCCAGTCCTTTCAGTATTTACAGAAATAAAATCTTACTGATAACACTTTTAAGACAGCCTCGCTCTCTTTCTCCAGCACCCAATCTTCTTTAATTATCCCGAGCCAAAGGTAAAAGTGAACCGCACATACAACGGCAATGTAAAATATTCCTGTGAATAATATTTTATCAAACAGAGAACGTTCAATATCATGGAAGATGTAGAAAACATGGTTTGAAATAACATGAACAGAATATTTGATGTAGCTAGTTTTCTATCTCGCCTTTCATGTTGTTGAGTGGTTGTAAATGAGTGTCTGGTGCGTCCGGGGAGATGAAGTTTGGTATTCTGGTTGGAGGGCTGAAAACTACTTATCATGCATTACGGCCCTGGTTGGACCTCAGGATTTGGAAGTCAAAAGACTTTTTAATGTACAATTTTTCAGCCGCTGATCAATCGACAGCTGCTGGACATGAAGATCTCTCTGCCTGCTCTCTCGCGCGGCATTCCATATTCCATCTCGCTCGGCATTCTGATCGAAGCTACGGCTGCGATTGACCTTGACGACTCTGGATCATTCCCAACCCAAGGTTCTCTTCAACTCTCAAGGGCCTTGGCGTCCGCCGCCACCCCCCTTCCCGCCTTCGCCTCTCCCATCATCCTCACCCCCTCCATCCCCTCTCCTCTAACCCCCTCTTTGCTCCTCCCTGGCCCCTGCCTGGGTCATTAATTATCTAATGGAATCAATACGGCGTTAGATTGGACCAGTGTGACCCCACCCGCCCCCAGGTATCTCTGCGGTGATGAGGAGGAAGAGGAGGTGTTTTGGGGGGGAAAGGGTGTAAAGGAATG